TAAAAATGAATTGTGTGCTTTGATATGACTCCCATTCCTCCAGATATAATACTGATGCCAAAAACTACCCGCCCCAAAAAAATCTGAAACATACTTTTGGCCCTAAGAATTTTGCATATGAGGTTCACAACCTAAACGGCAGAGGGTAGTAAAAGTATTTTAAATGATTTTATGACATTTTTGTGATTTTTACCTATTCCAATATTACTCTAACTCAAGGCTTTACAACTAGCTTTTGAAATACAATTCTTTAATTTTTCTGAGAAGGGTACTGATTCTAACCATTATAGGAGTGGGTCTCCCTATTGTTCAAGGGATTGAGTTAGTTGAATAGATCACATGATTGCTATGCTCCACAACTGTGTTCTGAAAAGCACTGGCGTTTCAAAAATAAACCAGTAGGCCATGTCTCCCAATCTCAGTGTAGAAACAAGAAAATGCCCACTTTAACCAGAAAGTAAAGCACAGAGTGGAGTAATCTCACAAACTGGAGGGCCAGTGGTTAGAATCCAGAAAGAATTCCCAGTATAGCAGATATTAGAGCAGAAATTTAAAGCATAAAGATACACCTTGAAGGGAAACACTTTGCTGAGCAGGAAAGCCATGTGTTGTTTGGGTGTCAAGAAATAAACTTCAGACAGTGCAAAGTAAGCAGACACAAGGAAGGTGAGAAGTGTAAACTCAACCAGGTTATAATAATCCTAGGCAGTTAGTGAAGCATGATTTCCAGAGACAGACTGTCTAGATTAAAGACTCTGATCTAATCTACTGATGTGTGACTGTGCAAAAAGTCACTTGATCCTGTCATTCTTCAGTTTTATCCTTTATATAATGGGAATGAAGAATATGGATAAGATTGTCAAGTTAAGGTTATTGTCAAGATTACATGTGTGATGTTTGTAAAAGCACTGTTATACACTATGAACTCCACAAACTCTGCTGGCATTATCTTTATGCTATAAAAAAGTGAGAGCCAATGAGCAAGAGAGCCAGTGTTAACAATTATTTCAAAGTCAACACTCAACACTTTGCTTCCACCCCAACAAGAAAAGTTACAAATGGCAAGAGAATGAAAGGAAACCAAGGATACATGTTTGCAAACCTCCTTCAGACATGTGTGTGAGAAGAGCTCTGTAGCATGGACCTGCTTATAGAGCACATTCCTATACTTTCTGACTGTCAGTTAATTGCTTTTGCTCCTTACATTAGAGTGAATGGCTGATCTGCAGCTGCCAGTCAAAAATAACTGAGTTAAGAACATTGTGTGTTGAATTTACTGTGTGATGCAAACTTCCTGCTAAAAGGCAAATCCTTTATTTCAAGTTGTTGATTCAGATAATCCTTAAAAAAATAAATCTACAGTTTAAATTTAGCATGCTGAGAAAGGCCAATCCTAAAATATTGTTTAGCTTTTAGCCTATAACATTTCCATTTTATTCTTGTAGTATTTGCTTCACTGAGAAGAAGATAAGTGACAATAGCCAAGTTAGGCTCATTCACGCCTGAAACTTTATCTAAATGGACCATTTTAGCTTAATTCTCACTAGTTAAAGATGGCCTTTAACTTTCCTGAAAACGTTTCAGAAAATGATTATGCAAGAACCAATGGTATTTCCAGGCACTGTTTCATCTCATCATCTGGCACTTCCAGATCATATTTCTACATTTTTTAATAAAAGTTACATAAAGATTTCCAAGGTTAAGCCTAGTCTAACTTTTATAATCAATAAACCTTATAGATGTTTGAGTCTCTGCTTTATCCTTGACTTTAAAGGTCTCTACCCCAAATACAGACCAAAGAACTTCAATTTCCATGTCTCACAGAAAAAAAAAAAAAAAAAAAAACAGGTACACATATTTTTATAGCAGCCTCCTGTGGAGTACTATCCTCTTGGAACTTGCAAATTATTTCCTCTTGTATTAGTCCCATCGTCTTTTTTTCTGGCACCAAACCCAGTTTCATTTCCACAGTTTGCAAAGCCAGAAATTAGAATGGTAACTATGCCAAGTTTTGGACTTGGGGTCAATTTAGATTCCAATTTTGTCATTTCTATCTTGAGTATAAAGAGAATATGGCAATCCTTCTTTCCTAGTATGATTTTTCAAGTACTTCCAAATACCAGTGCCTACAAAAATGATGCACTTCAGCCACCTGATCCACAAAAGAGTTCTTTCCTAATGGAATAGGCAACAAAGTGACTAGGGATGTGACTCACACCAGCGAGGCTCTACTAGCCAACCATTTGTTAACTGTAGTGTCTTCAACATATTCTTTTTTTAAAGTTCAGTCTTGTATTTATGTTAAGTGGTAGGAATTATCTTCCTCCTATAGCTTTTGTACCATAAATAAGATGATATATTCAAAGTGCTTTACCTGCAATTGTTAAATTTGCAGTCATTCTCAATTGCTCATTCTTTGTGTGGTAAGAAACCATGCTTAGTCATAATGCAAGAAGCTTCCAAGCACTTCATCTACTTCCTACCAATAATAATGATGAACAAGTACATAAAACTCTTCTTTGAGGTTAAATATCATGTCAGTGTTTCATGAGAGAGAAAAAATATCCTATAGAAACAGAGAAAATCTTCCTCCCAACTTCCCCTGAAGCTTCCTCTGGGCAGGTGCTCTATGCTAGAGGTATTACTCAAAAGGGAATTCTGCAGCTATCATGTATATACAAATACAGCTCTGATCCTGAAGCCAGACAGGAAAGGATAATGTTAGAACAGCACCTCTAGCCTGTGTATAACATCAGTTATTATTACTAGGTAGATTAACATTCAGAGAACAGCTACTAACTTTGAGATTTCTACAGTTTTTTCTTTCCATAGAATTCAAGGGAAAGCATGAGTCACAAGCTCTTTGCCTAGTTCAGACACTGTCCCCCAAAATATTTCTAACGTTTTAAATATTAAAATAATTTCACTGCAAAGTAATTTTGACAATCCCCTTCCCAGACACAGTACTTAGTCTTCTTGCAGTATGAAAATACTTTCAACTATGAAATAAACACATTGCAACAACTCAGTTATAATAGGTTTCTGTCTTTGAAGAACTCTTGATAAATGGCTGTGAGTTCTTAGCCTGCCTTACCTACAATTAGCTCAATATCTGATATCATGTACTCAAGATCTTTAGAATATTATGGAAGTGCTTGGAAACTCACCGCAGCATATTCTTAAATTTTGTGTATGGAGTTTCTCTCTCCATCTCTCTCATACACAGCACACACACACACACACACACACACACACACACACACACACACACACACCACTCTTTGCTGTGTAAAATGTTTACCCACCCTCATGTGACAACAACCTTCCCTGGATCACATGTTACACACGGATTCACAGAGTTACATTTAGGGACTATGCATGAAAAAATTTTATAGCTAAAATAATTGGGTATTCCAAAAACAAAAATGCCCAACACTGAGTGAGCCTTTATATCTAGAGATTTCTGAAATGAGTGGATGATTAGACAATACAACTCTGGTTACTTTTTTTCTTGTCTTATTTGGAGTAAATAAATACATTGGGTGGTTTAGGCAAAGAGTCAGAAAATTTTAAACTAAAATGGAAGGATAAATGCAACCCTAAATTTCCTCTTGTCTTGTGATAGAGGATTTCAGAATTAAATTGCAATTCCCAGAAATTACTATTCTCAATGTCTTCTTTCTCGTTTGCAGACAGTGTCTCACTTCATAATCTAGAACTCCTTGTGGAACTCAGTCTGGCCTCAAGTCTTTGGCAATCCTCCTGTTTCAGAGCTGGGTAGGATAACAGGTGTAAACCATGTCTGGCCACAGAATTTGCCTGAAAAGTTGGGAACAGCTTTGACCTATAAAACCTATGACAGTATATTTGTGCAAATGTCTATTTGAAGATCCCAGAGTTCTGGAGCCTCTTTTAGGTAACTTTCTCTGTAACTGTACTCTTTCTTGGAGTAAAATATAGTGAAATACAGTCATTTCTCCAGTGATCCTCCAATTGCATATAGCATATCCTTTCTAAATAAGAGATTCTTTTATTTCTATTTTCTGTTTGTTTCTGTCATCTAAAATTTGGAGGGGGTGGGTTTCCATGAGATTGAAACTGACCTGATAATCCCAACTGTTTAAATTAATTATTTCTAGTTTCCCTTTTAGAAAAGGCCTTTAGTATTCTGCCAACATCTTGTTTATTTGGTAATTTGCTTTACAATGGGCTAGCCCTTTCTGACCTATTTTTAAGAGTTGGTTATCTGCAGTTTGAACAAACAAGCTGGAGTTGTTTTTGAAAGTTCTTAAGCCTTTTTTTTCTTCTGCCAGTGAACATAGTCCTGCTAAGTAACTAAGTACAATGCCATCTACATGAAAATCATCCCTGTTAAATAACGAAGGTTTCAAATTATACTGGTTAGACAGTGGAGATAATTGTAGCAGTAAGAACCTGGGAGATTCCACCCCACCCACTGGGAAGAATTTGAATTTTTATCATATCATCAATGTCGCTTAGAATGTTACCAAGAATCTAGCTATAAGTCAAGTTCACGTTTAATTTTAATATTGTAAAGTAAATAAAAAACATGTCTGTTTTGCCTGCTTGTTTGTTTACAAGTTAGAAAATGAATCTGGAATTAAATTTAGGATAATTGGGGCATTTAAAAATCGAAGCCAGCTTCTATGATTCCTCTTCATCCGCCCCCCATAGGCAACCTGCCATCTCATCAGTAACTTTCAGGGGATCACAGTCACAGTCTCCTTGTCTATAATCACAATGAATTGAGCACTTTGCCCAAACTCACCTAACATTAGGTTCTCTGCCACAGATAACATTAAGGCGACCAATAACTACTAGCACAGGAGTGAGGGACAAAATGCTTTCAGATTTGCATGGAGAATCCGAAGCTCTGTCTGCCTAACTTTCCACGCCATTTCTTCTCAGCTTCCCTTCCCCCGCACCACATACCCAGAGGCCACTCAAACTGCCAACCAACCGTGCTGAGTTGAACTTACTGCAGCGTGATGCAGGCGAAGGCTAGGCGCATCTCTGAAGCGAGAGCGACAGCTTTTCCGGAGAGGAACTGGGACCAGCCAGCTCTCAGGATCCTTTCCAATTCACACGCTCTCTGCTCAGTCAGAAAGCTCCCACACAGCCCGGCTTCCCCCAAGAGCGGAGCTTCAAGAACTCTGCTCAGAGCATCCTCCTCCCTGCTGCCACCCCCTTCCAGAACACACGGCCCGTTGGAACTAGTGACTGAAAGATGGAAGTCTTCTTCCAGGCAATGTCACGGGCTGCCTGCAAACCACCACTCCCCGATCATTTGCAACTCAAAAACAGCGGAGGCTGAGAGCTGTAGGCTTCCGGAGCCTGAAAGTCAATTTTGGCATCTCCTCTTCCCCACATCTCACTCCTCCCACTTCACCCTCCTCTGCCGAAGCCACCTCCAATCCTCCGGTCTTTCGCTCAGGCTAGGTATTGAAAGGCTTGTTTCCTTATGCAAACCACTAAGCATCAGGAACGAAACTGAATTTTTCAGATAGGAAAATACCTGTTGTCCGTGCCTAATGCTCTTCTATCATCTCTCTTGGTCCAGGATTCGTGTGAGAACGCGTCGTTGATTCAGGAAGTGTGTTCAACGTGTGTGTGGTGGTGAGGCAGCGGTCTGTGTGGCTGCCTGGCTGCTGAGGCTGCTGTTGCTACTATAGTGGTTGGAGATCAGAGGGAAATAAAACAGGGAGACAGGGCTTCCCAGATGTTTAACTGCTGTCTGAGTTATGATTAGACAGTGCAGGAGACAATGCAGGCATTAATAGCTGTTATTGCGACTTTTAGCTGGATTGTCTGCAATTGCTGTTATTTCGTGTACATTTTTTCACTCCATCAGAAATCCGATGTCTGTCTCCCCTCTCCTTACTACTAAAGTGAATTCTCTGACTGGCTACTCAGTGGCTGCCCACTCCCCTCATCCATTTAATGCTCCCTATTTCTTCATTCCTGTTTGATGGCTGAGAGCAGGTTAAAGGAAAATGGATGAGGATCAACTAAGAAGGCAGTTGATGAGATTGTAACCAATCAGGACACAGATAACAATGATTTTTAAGCCATGTGTTAAAAGTAATGTATTGGGTAATAAAAATATAACATCAAGTTGCATGATCTTATGTGTGCAAGCAGTTAAGGTCTATGCTCACATCTTCCAATGAGGGTTACACTGATGAAACTGTTGCAGTGCTTCCCAGCCTCATATTAGCACCAATTTGTCAGATGCAAACTCTGGTGCAGCCTACCTGTTATTTCTGTGGATACACACACTCTCATTGGTTACTCACTAACTGCCCCTGTTTATCACCAACATCCGATGATATGAAAACTATTAGCTAGCAGAAGTTACAAAAAAAAAAAAAAAGCCTCCCAAATGATTAGCAGCATCTTAGTGTCTAATATCATTTGATTGAGAAATCATTTTGTTAATGCTACTGTTTGCTACTGTTTTATAATAGTTTGTTTTATAATAGTTTGGAAATAATGAATAACACAAACACACACCCCTTTAATGAACAGTACTTCTACTCTATTGTTAGCTTTCAGGTGGCTGAGCTAAGAAATAACTTTAAATCGTTTTCATTTTATTTGTAATGTGTATCTTTAATTATTTCCACCTTCCTATGAATACTTTTTCATATCTGTCATAGTTATACCCAAATCATAGAGCTTGCATAATCTAGGTTAAACAAGTTAGATAGAAACATGAAAAAAGTCAAACTTGGAAATACAACAAATCCAGGAGAAAGGGTTGGGGGTGGGGGGGGGGGAAGCATGAAGAATTAATAATGTATCTTCTCTTAATTTGCTTATATAAGAAACTTATAGCTTTTAGGTAAACAAGGACTAATTAATGAACAAAGCATATATCAATTACTTAATAGATGTCAATTTACAAAGTAAAACCTTAGTTACATAAAATAAAATATGATACCATATAAAATGATAAATCTTTTTTTAATGTTAACATCTGGTCTTAGTCAAAATGGAAGTCACACATGACACTGAAATGATTGTATTACTATTAAAATCTAATTTAGGACATTTGAAAAATTTTCTGACAACATTGCTGAGATTTAGAAACAAACAAACAATAAATAAATAAATAAAATAAACCAGCAAAAACAACACTCATGACAAAATATAAAGCTTGGTAATGGAGACAGGAAAGCTTCAGCAGAGGACTAATGACAGCTCCTCAGTTCTTACTTACTCTTACAACTGGAGGACTTTCCATTTTGTAAGAAAACTTCCAAATCATTGCTTCACAGGACTCTCTTTTCTTTAATACATGTCCCTGTGGTTAGAATATATATATATATATATATATATATATATATATATATATATAATTATTAAATGGTAAAAATGGTAAGAGAAAATAAAAACTGCCTTCTAAATATTTTTTTTAAATGGCACACCAAAAGCCCCTGATTTTTGGTGTGTGTGTGTGTGTGTGTGTGTGTGTGTGTGTGTGTGTGTGTGTTTGTATAAGTGCTTATGCAGACATATGCACATGAAAGCGGAGGCCAGGGGGCAGTCTTGAGTGTCTTCCCCAGCACTCTAAGCCTTCTTTACTGATACAAGTCACTCCCGAGCCTGGAGCTCTATGGTTTGGCCAGGCTGCCTTATCTAAGCAGTCCAGCCATTCTGTTTCTGGGATGAGAGACATGGCCCTCACTAAGCTTACAGATGACTTCCGCACTTCCGCGGCTTCTGCACCAAACATGCCACCTGGATGCTCTCTGAAACCCAACCAGGAAACAAGAGAGCGAACTGGGGTCCAGGACCCCAGAGGTAGCTTCCCACAGGTCACATCTGCTTTTGTACCCATGCCCCAATGGGCGTGGTCAGTGCTACAGATGCAGGCAGGTTGAATAGCTCACTACATATGTCAAAATGTTTATTGCATGGCTGTCCACAGTCAATAGGTTATAAATAAATAAAGCAAAGGAATAAATTAATTTATGGCAGCAAGATTCAGGTGTTTGAACTCTCCTTGTCTTTGTTTTGTTACTGCATACATGTAGTACTTGGCATGACCTCTAGGTATCTTTCAGGTCTATGACCCACAGTATGATTAATAGCTGCCCCCCCCCAAGACTATTCACAAATTAATTTCTACTTCCCAGATGCAATTAATAATTTCCCCATAATCTCATCCCCAGACCAGCAAGGAACTAACATCAAGATATTCTTAGTCCCAAGAATCCTATTTGAGCCTCCTTCACCCACTGTTTTCCAAAGCCATGTCCACTCTTGAGGAGCCTGGGTAAAGGGGCTTCCTTTCAAACTTCTGAATGTTCCTGTATTCCTAAAATAATATGAGCTTTAATTGAGCGATTGTCACTTTCAATAAGGTAATTCTTAACCAAAATAACAGAATACTGCTTACATAATCTGGTATAATGTTGCTTTTGGTAGATTATGTTTTAAACATAGCCGTTTAGGCAAACTGATGCTTAGAAATTACATGTAATATTAATTTTATCTTCACAAGGTTGGAAAAAATAAATAGTCAGCTGGTCATGGGGCCAGTTTTTAAAGGATATAGATGCCATAAACATGTGCATTTTTCCATTCAATTTTGAATGTTTTAAGTTTTAGGAAAATCATATTTTTCAAATTCTTACTCACTTGATTTAATTATTATTAACTTTGACTTGAATTGTGAGAAGAACTACTTTCTAATTTGAGCACTCTCCTGAGAACTTTTTCATTAGTTTCAAATTTATGAATGCTGTATATAGGTTGGAAGGTTAGAGGGGATACAGAAAAGATTTAATTCTATTGTGTTACCTTTAAAAAGAAGAACAACCTTCAGATATTAGATTTGAATGGGCCCTTAGACCTCATTTAATCTGATTCTCATATTTTACAGCAGAGGACAGCAACAAAACAGATGACCACTGCTTACTGCTGGAAAGCCATTTCACCAGTCTTCCCACTGTGCTTTCTGTCTTTGACATAAAACAGACACTTCAAGTCTCAATTAGGTCAAGGAGATGTGGCCTTGAGAAAATTGTCTTTTTTAGAATTTAGCTTGTTAGCTTATAAACAGAATAACTGTAGTATGAGCCCCATAAAATTGTGGCTCAGAAATTCCAGGAATGTAGTACATGTAGACAATGTCACATACACGTCATCCACATCGAAATATACATACCCACACACACACACACACACACACACACACACACAAGAATAATTACTTTTATGACATGAGCATCATCTCTTCATTCAAAGCATAATTTCTAAGGTTAAATCTTTGAGTGCTTGACTCATGAACAATTTGAAATTGACTTATTTATAAAGGGATTTATAACTGGTAGAAATCACGGAATCTAAACAATTCATGTAGGGACAAAAAAAGAACAGCTTATTTTAAAGTAATAGATTTTAAAAAAGTGTTCCTGTATTTCAGTGAAAGTAATTAGTGTTTTAAAGTTATCTCAGCAAGCAATAATTAATAACACAAATTAATGAAGAAGCTATTCAGTCAAACTTTCATAAACATGCATGATATGAGAAATCCTAAGCTAGGTACTTAATCAAAGAACTACAGAAAAAGCAGCAAAGAGGAGTTAGTACATGAAATGAGAAATCTATGACAGAGAAATTATAATTCTGCAATTTTACTTTTATGTAGAAAATTAGCCATTTACTTGGCTGTCTCCATGATGGATATAGAGGACGATATAATTGATTTAGCAATGGATGCTCACAAAAACGTCCTAAAAATGTCTATGTTTTATGTTCCATGCCACCACTTTATTATTAAGGTCAATGGCTGACAACAAAGACAAGGCATATATATTCTGGAGTACTTTGTCTTTACTGTTTTCTAAGAAGTCTGATAAGTGGGTTTTACAATACCTGTGCTGATTTCCTAGATGGAACCCTCTTACCCTAACACTCGACTTTTCTGTAGAGGTTTTGCAGAAGTATGCTCACATTGCTCACTGCTCTATGCCAGATGTTATTTAAATTTTCAATTGCATTGAAAAGGAATAAAACAAAATAACAATTTTAAATATCTTTTTTTAAAAAGAACAAATTGTTTTTGTTTAATCAATACCTAAATTAAAATACCAACTATAAATTGCAATCAAACACATTAGTTTTAAGCTCTTTGAATGACTACATCTGATCAGTAATTTGAGTCTCTTAAAGAAGAGTACTTTAAGGCAAAATGCAGATTTTTTGAGGTCAGACCTTGAACGGTATGATCTTTTATAGTTATTGAAAATTTCGTATTGAATTGAAACAAAGATTCGTCTACTTCAAGAAAGATGGATGACCCGAAAGGAGGAGCCTGAACATTGTAACAGGGCTGACTGCCACAAGTGATATTCATTAAAAATAGATAGGCAAGAAGTTTGGTTTGAT